GAGGAAGAAGAAGAAGAAGAAGAAGAGGAGGAGGAGGCTGCCACCTTCCTCCCCTCACGTATTCTCTCTTTTTCTGGATACGTCTCGACAGGAAGTTGTCTTTGAACGCATCCTGAAAGGCCGGCGTCAATCAAACACCTTTTAATGCCACAGCTTCGGTCATGAACGTGTCTGAACAGTTGGTGTGGGTGAACTCCACTGACCTGCAGAGCCCCAACACCTTTGGGGATGAACTGGAACATTAACTGTGAGCGTGTTGTATTTATAGCTGATGCAGGGGGTTAACAGGAGTCCTGCTGTACATACTGTGCCTATGCTGTAACACAACACCGACACAACACTACACACACGTATTGTTCGTTATCAGGCCTCGCGGTGCTTCGATAGGAACTGTATTTACATTGCTGCCTCCTCCCCTGCAGTCGCTGTGTTCACAGTCTTTTATTCACGTGGTTCACAGACGGAGTTCAGATCACTGAGCCTCTCTTCAAACGACTTACTGTTGCCCAAACTATCAGTAACCTCCACTGGCATCACAAGCTCAAGACGACCAATCACAGTCCTCGCCATAAAACGACACGCTTAATTATTATTGTCTTCCATCGGTGTTGGCCCTCAGCTGCGCGGGAGCAAAGCCCTGCAGCTGGGTTCAACATCTGGAGGAAAGACTGGGACCAGAGGAGCGGAGGCTCTCTGAGCAGTAGTGGTGAAATCTTCAGGTGTCCACAGACTTTTGGCCACATAAAGAACCGCGCACCAAGAGCAGAAGAGATAAAGCTGCATGTTTAAGCTCATCTGTCTGCGCTAATCAATCATTTTACTGTTATTGGATTGCTCTTCTTCTGCAGGGATGAACTGGATCAATACCTGCAGCTTCTCTTCTTTCTTTACATTTGGCTGCTTCGAGTCAAACTGTGTATTTGTGTATTTTGGACTCCATCAGCTGCTGCGGTCACTGCTCTGCTCCTAACTTAGAGCCTCTGGTTGACGCAGACAGATATTAGCGCAGAGAGCTACGTAGCATTTAAGGATAATTTTTCACCCTCATCATGACAGCTGCTCTCACAGGAAACGGAAAACTGCACATCTCTGCGCCGTGAAGAAGAACGGAGGAGTTTCTGATCGAATCTCACTTTGTGTTGAAGCAGTCTGAAGCACGTTCGACACAGATCCCGACCAGAAAAACCAACAGTTTCAACCAGAGAAGCAGGAAACTTGGAGTAAGGACTGCCACATTTGGAAGCCGCAACATTTTGGCTCAATTATGTGATTGTGTGCAGCTCCAGTGAGGTGTTTCGGTCAGAAGTGGCCACTAATTGTCAGATGTCGTTACACTGCAGAGCGGTCGCCCTGGAGCTGTGAAGCCGCCGTCTCATGAAACAGGAAGCGGGCGGCGTTCCCAAACGGTGACAATTCAATTCAGAGCTGACAACTGTGACGCTGCGCCGAAAACACACACACACACACACACACACACACACACACACACACACACACTTACTTTTACGCACATAAACAAGAAGATAAAGAGCGCAGCCTCAGTGACACACACAGACTCACAGCTCTGAAAAACCAAAAGCATGCGTCACAGCCTCCTCTGTGTGGACGAGCAGACACTCCCCTCTGCCCGGTCATGAGCTGCTGCCACCACACACACACACACACACACACACACACACATGCACGCACACAAACATGCACACACATAAACATGCACACACATACTCCAAATTTAGGTCCTAAGGGAAGCTGATGTGATCCTAAAAGGATTTGAACATTTTTTTCATCCTTCAGCTCCATGACCAGCTTTAGCCTGTACCCAAGTTGTGTGTGTGTGTGTGTGTGTGTGTGTGTGTGTATCAGTGGGAAGCGTAGGCTAATTCCACCCATGTAAATGTTGACCTGAGCTGGGTGGGGTGTTTGTGTGGTGACTGGGTGGGGAGGGGCTTTCATGGAAAGCTGCAGTAGAAAATAAAAGCTGCTGCTCCTGTCATCATCGTCTCTGCCTCGCTGTCCCTCTGCCCTTCGCTCCCCTTGGTGTGGGAAACAAAGGCCACAAATGGCGCAAGCACAAACACGCGCAAAGAGTGGGTGACGAGGCGGATGTTTGCCCGCGCTGCCGTCTTTTGGCACTCGCCACGTAAATATCTGCGTAAATGTCAAAGAAGTTCAAGGAAGGAAAAACTGAAGGTGAAACTGAAGCTGGGAGGTTTTTACAAGCACAGGAGACACATTCAGACGGTGTGTTGTACCTGTGGCTCTGATCTGTCTCTGAGTCATTTATATACTCACTTTTAAAGCAACAGTTTGTGGGAAACAGGCTTATTCACTTCCGCTTATTCATTTTCTGGCGTTAGAGGTGAAGATCGATATCACTTCAGCTGGTCCGGCTCCGTCTAAAGCTACTGAGACAAAAACACACCTGGACTGTTCAAGCTGCACAAACGTACAAGTGTGAAGACGAGAACATGTTGAGTGAGACGGTCCGCACCAGGAAAACGACAGAAAACGACCTGATTACGAGTTCAACACCAGAGAGCGCCGTTCGATTCTGTGCCTAAACCTGCGGAAACGTGACGCATTCATTTCAAGAAAAACATCTGCTTTTCTGGATTAACGAGATAATTACATCGTTAATCCAGAAAAGCAGAGCAGGATTTATTTTTTTCTGAGATAATTATCTTGTTATTTTTTATTTTCATTATCATTAAATATCGTTATTTTTTCTCCAAAATAACAAGATATTTTTCTCGTTACACCTACAGTACTTTTTATTGGCCCCTCCCTCTGGCCTGAAACGTCCGACAGATTCCAGGTGAACGTTCATCACAGGTATCTCAAACATTGTGCATCAGTTCTGAGCTTGAGCTTGATGGCCTGGAGAGCGAACGTTGCCATGGAGACGGACACAGACGGGAACACAAACACAAGTCAGTGGGTGGACACACACACACACAAGCATGCAAAGGCCCTACCCTGATAGATAAATACTACACACACATGCCAAACGCCTCATGGCTCATGCACACGCACACATGCACACACACACACACACACACACACACACAGTAGTCCGTCCAGTGTGTGTGTGTGTGTGTGTGTGTGTGTGTGTGATCCTCTGTTTGACGCATCCCGGTGACATTTTTCCCGAACACGTTTTATTCCAGTTTGGACTTTGGTCTGAAGGCGGCCTCCTCGCAGCCCGGTGGAATTTGCCATGAGAGAGGAGACTTTGATCCACTGCAGCGTTCTTCTTCTTCTGTGGTCTCTGACTGTCCACACGCCCTCCTCAACCATCATACTAGTCACCAATAAGCTGAAAACAGAGCCGCCACTGTGACCCCGATGTAACTTTCCATGACTCTTGTACCTGAGCTGGAGCCTTTCCACCAACTATAAATGTGAATCCTTCCTGGTTTGTGCTTTTACACAAACACCATCAACAAACAGGCCGGTTTCCTCCCCGAAAACCACCACATGATGCAACTGATGAGCTCAACAGACTGGGAATTAAGCCGCAGTGTGTTCCTGCAAGGTCACCTGTGGAGGGAAAATTCCCTACGATCAGGTTCCACGACCTCAACGACCTTTAGATGAAACCAGGTCTCACCCCCCACAGGGCGACAGAAGTTCAGCTAATCTTTGTTTTTATACTATTTATATATATGTTCTATATCTTTATACTAGTTTTTTATAAATAAATTTAAATAAAAATATTTATTAATCCACCAAGAAATCATAGAAAAACAGAGGCTTCAGAAGTTGCCTGGGAATCGTCATGTTGTGAAGGTTTCTTCAGTGTCAGTGTGATCTGGTGTTGGCTATCTGCACATCCATGAGTTGACTGCAAACAGGAACTGCTAACAGCTAATGCAGCTACTTTAATCTTCCCAAAATGTAAACAGATGTAGGCTGAAGGAGAGAAGCAGGGTCCACCTGCTGGCAGGTGTTTCTCTGTCGTCCTATTGGTTCTCAAAAAGGTCTATTATGTTGGTGTGAACGTGATTCAGACGTCCAGTTTCATACTGAGCTGATAAAATGCAGGAGGAGGAAAGAAGCTCGTCTCCTGGAACAAACTCAAAGATCCACTTTAAAGCACAAGCACACGGCTCCAGATGAGGTTTAAATTACAGGAGGAGCATCAGCCCGGCTGTAATTACTGCTGGAGACTCGCTCCCGCTCCACACTGGATTACAACCACCGACCAGGGCAGGTAATAATAAAATCTCCCCACTCCCCTCGAGAAATAAACCCTGTCTGAAAGAGCTTGAGATAGAGCTGGGCGATGCTCTAAGTTTCCTTCTTAACGAGAGCTCCATGATCAAACGATTATTATTATATCGTTCTGTGATTTTAATATAAAATAAAAACCGGCCTCAGAAACCAAAATCTGTGCTCTCGTTAAAGACAGAGCTCAAGACGAACAAGAGAAAAAACCTCACAGGTAACTGAAGCAGGAGGCAGCAGATGGACACACCTTGAAAATTCCACAGGTAGATCTGAAATGTCCACACACACACACACACACACACACACA